TTGGTTACATATTGTAACCCAAGACACCAAGTTATACAGAGTTGATTCCCATTTGGTCCCCAAGTGTTGCCTGATCTAGTCGAGAGGTGGCGTCCCTGGCGGCAGGGAGGCTGGATTAAAATGATCTCTAAGGTCCCTTCCCGCCTAGGCCATTCTATGATTCTATGATCTGGCTATACTTGAACTGGCAGTTATGCTTTGGATGCTGTTGATCTTTGTGTAAGAGTTTGTTTGCTATGAGAGGAAGGTTATAGCAGCTGTACAGCTGCTGTTGTAGGAGTTCAGCTCCTGTCTGTAATAACACCTCCTGTCCCACACTGAGAGAAGATCTAGATTTGTTCCTGTCAAGTGATTTAGAATCTCCATCTGAGGTATAGGCGGTGTACCCCTCTCCTGGTCCTTGAGAGGATCCTTGTTCTGTAACGACTCCAGCCTGTGCTCTGATCTCATGTTTGTTGGAGATACCTTCTGTTCTTCAGATTTTGTGCAGGAAAGGAGGGGGGCAGGGTAGGAGCTGTGATGTGCTTCCAAGCACGTGCCAGCTAAGTGAGAAACGAGGACTGTAGAGCACATTGCAGAATAAGTCTTTCCTGGCCCCATGAGACAGGTTAATTTTGTGCCAGCAAACACACAGCAGAAATGTCTTTTGTACACTGTAGTTTCCACCTCAATTAGTCGTGGCTTTCTGCTGTGGTTGCTTACCTTGAGAATCTGATCTAACTGGAGTGAACAGAACGGGTTAAACTCTGGCTATTATATTTTTTAAGTGCTTTTCTTTATAGCAGTCTGCTTATTGTTCCTCACAGGCCAGTTCTCTGCTCAAAGTAAAGGAACCCAGCATGATGGATGTAAATCCTTCTGAAAGCACTTGCTTTCAGGTTATCCCAAGTGCTTCTGTGGAGGAGTTTAACACTGTGTCTCCTCTGCCTGCCCTTGGACAACCAGATGCAGCAACTGCTGAGGAAAGTGAGCCTTTACCAGCTGAGACAAATAAGCCAGAGATTGAGTCTCCAGGAGCAGCTGTACCACCATTGCCTGCCAATGAAGAAATAAAACAAGCTGCAGCTTGTTCAGCCCAACCAGCTGGCAAGACAGATTCCCCTTCCAGAAGGAAAGGTAAAGCTGTTGATTCTGCGTTTTTATATGTATGATTTTGTCTTTAAATTTCATGGTGATAAAGCACCTCATGGCCATATAAGTTAATCTATGCCCTGAAGGCACTTTCAGGTGTGGAAAGGAATAAGTTTTGGAAAGAACCTTCAAAATCTGAGTTATGTAGCAGGCTGTTCTCAGGAGCCATGGAGTGAGATAGAAGTTTCTGCTTGGTCTGGGATTTTTGATACTTCTGTGCCTATAAACAAGACTGCCAAAATTGCTCTGAATTCGTCTATATTTGACAGACTCAGGAATTTCACTTTTTTGATACAGGCACGCTGTAGGTGTGTTATTGCACCTCCTCTGACTATTTTCTGAGTTATTACATGTTACTGGTAATTGTGGAACCTCCCTGCTCTACTACAGAGTTGTGTGATACATCTTTTGTACAAGCAACAGAGTTGCCATAGAGGAAGGTGTTTTTGTTCCACGTGAGCCATTTCAGTTTTCTGTGGTACACATCCTGTCCTGAATTTGTGAAATATTATTTTGCTTTTCTGTTTCTTAATTTTTTGCCTCTATATCCATAGTATTTTATAATAAACGTTACACTCTTCACGTGAAAAGTATTTGCTTACCGATGTTATGTTTTAGATCTCTCATTATTCTATAATTATATAAGCCTAGTTTGTGCACCTGCTTTTTCATTGGTAAACATACAAGTTTTTTAGCCACATCTCCATGCGTTCCGTTGCCTTTGAAAACAAAAATGACAGTGTTACTCTGCTTATTATTCTGCCTTTATGTAACTTTTTTTTTCCTGATTGCTTTTCTGATGTTTGATGTTGGAAATTGGGACAGTGAGAAGTTGGGAGTTTTAGAATGAATTTTGAATTAGAGTTTGGCTTTACAGTGGTTACTTGTCTAGATGCACCAGCAACAACAGGACAGTGATGATTGTGTGTTGGTACTAATAAAAGACCTGAGAGGGCTTTTTTTGTCCCCTTCAATGGTGCATGTACATTCACAAAACACCAGTTGTATGTGCTAAACAGTAATTTGTCTCCATAAGAAGACTATTATAGTGTATTAGTGACTATGGTATATTCTGTTGTGTTACTTTCTTTTTGCAAGGGGGAATTGAAGATTAGTTCTCTGAGGGTAAATGCTCTGCTTGACTTACTGTGTTAACAGGCCTATGCAAATACTGAGAGAGTTTTCTTTTGGCTGTTTTCGTACACTGACTTCTAATTCCAAGTGTTTCTGTCTGGGGTAGGGAGGCTTCAGCATATCTCAAAACTAGTCCTCTTTTGACCCATTTTGTGTGTTCGAAGTCTGAACGATGTATATGAGCAACTTGTTTTGAAATTTTTGGCAGTACTGTTTTATACAAATACAGTTCACAAACTGTTACGGCTGGTCTGGTTTCTCAGTCTTCAAGTGAATAGTTAAACAGTAATAACAGTTCTGGCTTGTTACTCAGAAAATGCTCATTAATAGGCTTATTTGTGCCGTCCCTTACAGAAAAACGAAGCCGGCATCTTGGTGCTGATGGTGTCTATTTAGATGACCTCACTGACATGGATCCAGAAGTTGCTGCACTTTATTTCCCCAAGAAGTATAAGTCGTTTGCTTATATTCTTACTATTTAAAGAGCTCTTGTCACGTCTCAAATTTAGACCAAACTCTTCCCTGCCAACCAGATAAGATCTCTTTTTCAGAGTCCAAGCAGAGGTCAAGGCAGAAGGAAGATAAAACTGTGGAGAGGAATACTAGAGCTCGTGGAAGGCTCTGCGTTTGGGTCTGAGAAGTGGGCTTGAAACTGATTTTCTATTTTAGTCATTTAAGCATCATATATTGATTGTAGATTGTTATGTAATGTACACTGATGTTTGTGAGTGTTACTCACATGTCCTAGGAGAGCAGTTGGCCTTGGGATGTATTTATCTCTATGTCCTTGCTGATTGCTGCAAAGAACATATTTTACTGTTAACAGTATTGGCACAAAATTATTGCTCTAATGCTCTTCTACTGTGAGTGATCACCTATAAATATAAATATTAGAAAATATTTTTGGAAAGCACGTTACGGATTTATTTATGAAACTGTTGTACTCTGAACATACAATTTCCAACTTGTTCTGATCTTTATTAGAGCCTTATAGTGCTTTTTCCACATCATACCCTAGTCATCTCACTAAATAATTGAGCAACAACTAGTGTAGCTTGCATATTTTATTTTTCTTGCTTGCTTGCTTAAACTCAGCTGTTGCAATATTAGCGTTTCAGGGAAAGATTAGTAATACACAGAAAAAAAATTGCACTGAAAATTCCTTTCTCAAATGCATTCATATAAATCTGGAAAGCAAAGAGAGTTTGACGAGCCTGCGCTTTGTAGTAATGATCTCATCTATACACAGATTTTAAGTGGATATAATGATTTACTGTTTCTTAAAATGTCAATCCTATTAGTTTGTATATAGAGTATATTATTTGTATGTATGTGACATATAAATACAAAAACAAGCACATCCTTTGTTTTGGCTTTAGCTGTTAGTTTATATAGTTAGTATAAATTTAATAATGAACTAATATGTTTATTCTTTTTCCTGTGTGGGAATAGTTCTACTAGTACAAATTCTGCTTGTAATAGCATTATTTTTTCTTCTAAGATGGTACAGTTTATTGTCTTATTTTTCCTATATCATTAATAAATGAAGCTATAATTATAAATGCCTGGCTCAGGCAAGTAAGTAGAAGCAATGAGGCATACACTACTTTGTTTAAATTTTATGACAAGACCCAGCAACTTTTCCTTTTTTAGTGAGTGTGTGTCAGATGTAAACAGTGCTTGTTGAAGGGAGAGAAACTGGAAATGAGCACATGACAACCCAATTCCTGATTTTTCTTTTCCAGTGGGGATGCTGTCCAAGGCAAGAGCGCGAATGACACTGGGCCGCGGTCCGCCAGCCACTCGCCGCAGTCCGTCGCCAGCTCAGGTGTGGACAGTGGAGCTGAAAGCACCTCGGATGGAACTCGAGATTTGCCATCCATTGCCATTTCTCTCTGTGGAGGCCTTACTGACAACAAAGAAATAACCAAAGGTACATACAAAACTAGCTTCGAGTTACAGGCATGTGCCATCAGCCAAGATTTAGCATCCGAACCGAGGAAGCAGTGCCCTCTTGTGGCTGTACGCAAGAATGTACTGAGAAAATAAATACCTGGAATAAGTTTACTAGCATTTCTCGTACTTAAAATCATGGATTTATATGGGACTTGTGATTTTTTTAATACACTTCAGTAATCCACTGTATACCATTCTTTTAAAAAAAACTATTTCGTTGGTATTTTTATTTTCTGAGAGTAATACGTTTTGTTGTCACGATAGTGTTACTAATACTTTTGCCATATTGTACAATATATAGCTAGGAAATTCCCAGCTGTTGGTTTCAGGAATGAAAAAAAGTGGTCTGTAAATGGGAACACGAGAAAGAGGAGTTGGAAACTCTAACCTGAGTTGCTACTCTACCTCCAGTTTCTTTTGTGACTCTTAGATTTACAGTGCTCTGTGATTTAAACTTCTAGCTGTATAATGTGAAGATAAATGCATCAAGACTTGCAATTTCTGCAGTTTTGAAAATCACATGAGCCCAATGCTCATGATGAAAATCATGATTGCTGTTCAGAAGCTGGTTATTAAAACATTTCAAGTATACGGAGATTTGTTGAAGTGGTATTTGTTATCTGGATCACTTGTTAATTACATGGATTTTGTGAAAGGAGTCACAAGTAGTAGAAGGGAAGTTTATTCATAAACATTTTTGTCTTGCTGAAGGCTGTGGTTTACGTGTAGGTAGAGCCCATCAGTTCCTGTTCTGAACTTGGACAGAGGATCAGTGAAAGGCATGACAAAGTACGTCCTTGCCTTGCTTAAAAGTCTGGTTTTCCTCACAGTTCCATCCCTGAGCTGTCACTTAGCTTGTGTTTTGAACAGGAAAGGCATGCAGCAGGTAACAAAGAAAGCCTCAGCATCTTCTGAAGTTGAGTCTCTGAACATCTTTCTTCCATATTACTGCTAACCTCAGCACCCTGATAATGAAGGGCTGACTCTGAACATGAAATCTACGTGTCTGAGAGATGCTAAAAGTTTTAGGTTGGCCCGTCCCAGGCATCTATAAATACAGACTTTACATTTGTCATTTTTTTCCCCCACAGAAGAATTCTTAGAACATGCAGTAACTTATCAGCAGTTTGTGGACAATCCTGCTATCATTGATGACCCTAACCTTGTGGTTAAGATTGGAAATAAGTAAGTATATTTCAGGAAAAGAAAAATGTACTGTTGTAAGGAAAAGACTTCAGTGCATTAGGTCAGTTTAACCATAGATGTAAAATAGATTTTTTGAGTGTTCATAGCTTAGATTCATCCAGAAAGAGTTGGCTCTGTGTTGAATTCAGGCTCTTCAAGTTACATTTCCTCTTTTAAGTTGAGAGTAAAGAGCAGCTTGAAATGACCTACTACAGCTAACTGCCACGATTTGAATTTCAAGAAGCTAGTATTAAATGCTAATAGCATTCACACTCAATTGGCAGAATAAAAATGAAATAGGATGTGAACTTGCTAAGGCTTGCCCTGAGCTAGTTTCAGTAATTAGTATTTACAGTGCTATGGCAGCCTACTTGCAAGCACTCTGTACCCAGCAGTTTGTCTATATATATGGAATATTTTGCACATATGCCTCTATAAAGGCATTACTTTTCAAGACTTGTCAAAGTTTGCCTGCGAAGTATAACATTTCTACTTATACAAGGCTAAGATGTTATTTAATGTGTTTTAATTGCTGGTAGGAGTGTGGCACATGCCTGATGCAGTCTGTGCCAGATGCAGCTTTTTGAAGGATGTTTCAACGTGAGAGCTCCTTGCACCTGGTGTGCAGTGGCACAGGGTAGAGATCATGGCACTGTGTAGCACTTAGGCTACCTTTAATTATAGGCATTACTCATGCAAATCTGATGTGCCTGGTGCATCCCTTATGAGGAAATGCTGAAGGAGCTGGGTCTCTTGAGCTTGGAGAAGAGGAGGCTGAGAAGTGACCTCATAAATGTTTATAAATATGTCAAGGGGAAGTGTCAGGAGGATGGAGCCAGGCTCTTCTCAGTGATGTCCAGTGACAGGACAAGGGGCAATGTGTACAAGCTGGAACACAGGAGGTTCCACCGAAATATTAGAAAAAACGTTTTCACTGCGGGAGTGACAGAGCCCTGGCACAGGCTGCCCAGGGAGGTTGTGGAGTCTCCTTCTCTGGAGAGATTCAAAACCCACCTGGACGCGTTCGTGTGGGACCTGCTGTAGGTGATCCTGCTCTGGCAGGGGGGCTGGACTAGAAGATCTCTATAGGTCCCTTCCAACTCAGCATTCTGTGATTCTGTGTAATAGTCCATACTGCGTATGTTACAGCCTCATATCTGACCCTCTATGGCCTGAGGCAAAATACTTACTTCCCTGCTACAGTTCTCTGAATTTGGTGGTAGTGTCTACCTGCCTACTGATATGTTGGGAAGAGAGGAGTACTTAGTGAGGAACTTACTGTTATATTCTCTGGATGTCACCTGAGCTTCAGCTTCTCTAGACAGATGGATGATAATACTGTATTTGTCCGACTGCAACAAGAGTTGGCCCACATTCAGTATATAATAGCAGAAGCTTGATATCTTACAGACTACGTCCCTTAGTGTTTACGTAGTTCCTTGATGGAAAAGCAGTGAAAACAGCTTGTAAAAAACATAGCTCGTGCTGTGATAATTAGGAATAGTAAGGACATGATGAATTAAGGACAAAGCCTTTCTTCTTAAGGACCCAGCTTCTCTTGCGTACCTTGAAGAGCGTATGCTATAAATACCTGTGAGTGTACTGTAGAATAAGGTGGGTCTGTTACTAGTGGTGCAGGCCAGAGTTTGACCCATGCTAAAGAGGTTTCATGGCTTTAACCTGCCGGATGATAAATATTAGGTAGATTGTGAGTTGGAACCTTGGGATTACAAAATGCAGTAATTGTCTCCTTTTGCATGCGCAGGTACTACAACTGGACGACAGCTGGTCCCCTTCTGCTGGCAATGCAGGCGTTCCAGAAACCTTTGCCAAAGGTGAGATTGAACAGGAAGGCTGGTAAGAGGAGGCAGGGAGGAGGGCTGTTATACAAAAGGATCTACACATCAGTAATATTTGTCCAGATGTAACCATTCACCTAGCTTATGCTAAGGGTTAAAGCAGCAGGACTAAATTTAGTCTCTTAATAGTGTTTATTTGCATCATTACAAATATTCTGAAGGATGAAAACTTCTGTTTTGGGCTGTAAACATTAATGTATGCTAGTGCTTGCTGTAGCTGAATACTTGGTGACTGCTTTCCATTTTATCTTTATGCAACATATATTATCAAATAAAATGGAGGTCAGAAATTTTACCTTCAGTGGATGAACTTCAGGTACTAGATAAAGAAGGCCTGTAGCTTGCTAGTTTTCTAGTTCTTGGTTGTGTGTTCATAACTAACCGAGATAGGTAGTGACAGTTCCGATTTCATGACAGCTATGTATGTTGGCTTAAATTAAATGTCTTGATGAACTAAGTTCAATTACGTGTGACCTGGTGCCACACAATTGTTCAGGACAGAAATACACACTACTATAAATTCATATAAGGAAGTAGTATCACCATTGGTACTATATTGTATCCTGCCTAGCTATGGATTTAGTAGATTTTGGAACCTAAACTTTCCTTCTGCCATTTGCAGCACTTTTGTCTTTAATCTATGTGATTCAAATGCTATCTCTATTACCATGAACATGGAATAAAAATAGAAAGTTCTTCTTAGCTCGACATTGCTTATGTATGCAGTCATGCGTAGCTGCACTGTAGTGCCCAAATAGAAAGTAAATTAATCCTAGAAGTCCCAAATATCTGGTAAACCTGGCCTGGATTTCAAGGATGTTGCAGAGCCAGATGTTTTGTGCTTTACTGCAAATATTCTGGTAAACTTTAAAGATGGGATTCACCTCACAGAACTGAAATGCCTGCAGAAGGTGTACAGTTATTCTATTCTGTATTTGTTAGTCATTTCCACAGAGGGATTTAGACCTTGATAGGTGCCTACCAGATCTTCAGTGGCAGTAAAGATAATCCAAAGTAACTGCATTTTTAATTAAACACTTTCATTTCTGAGCCAGTGTTTTTGGGAGTTTGCCTAGGATGGGCAACTGGAAAGAACTGATCTGAAATGTTTTTGCTGTCAGCGGAAATGTTAATTTTTCAACAGCATTGTGGTTTCACCATTATTTATATAGGTCATCAGTTAAGAAAAGTCTTCCACGAGTGTGAAATTCAGGGCATTGATTTTTTTTTTTTTTTTTTTTTTTAAATAATTTATATTCTGAATGCTGATGACTTTCTACATAGTGCAGTTGGGAAGGTTTAGGTTTACTTGTCTGAACTGTACCTCTGACACTAAAATTACTCGTTTATGTTACTGTTTATGCTACCAGTTTTCATAATGACTTGTTAATTAGAGCTTTGATTTGCTGTGATAATGGAACTAAGGAACTGACATACTAAGATAGTTTATCAAAACAAGCTTTATGAAGTGCTTGAAAATGGGAATTTTTGCAAAAAAAAATCGTGTTCTGGAAAAACACTTAAATGCATGTTTAATCATAAGCATGTGAATTATCTCACTAAAAGTCCATAGGACATCTGCTTGAAGGTGTTCATGTGTTTGAGAACCTCCTTAAATTGTAGCAATAGTTCTCAACAGCGGCATTCCGTTCTCAACAGCGGCATTCCATTCTCAGTAGCTCCATCTGCTCCTTGTTTTTCTTATTTTTGTTTGTAAAGTTCTCAACTTATTTGCTCAACCTTATTCCTCTGTCGTTTCTTTCTTTTCTCATATACTTTAGATAGTATAGTTAAGAAAACCTAGGGAGAACTGAGAAAAGGGATGCATTGTCCCATGCCTTAGCTGACCTCAACCTTCTCTCTTAATTGCTAAGAGTCCTTATGGTAATTTTATTTTTATTTTTACTTCTACTTTTTAAAAAAAGTCACTAATCAATGCCACAGTTTTACTTGAGTGAATTTGACAGTGGAGGCTCCTATCTCGGAAAGCCAATGCCTAAGCTGTGTTAGGACGTAATGAACACTGTGGCCACGTTTACTGTAGTATTTTCCTCTTTTGTCTTTTGCTTCCTCTTTGGGTGACAGAACTCAGCTCCTCTTGTTACAATGCATAGTCATTACAGGTATTGAAAGACATTTTTCTATGCTGAGGTCTAGTATATATGTAACTAATGGAAGTAGCCAGGGTTTAAAAAAAACAAAACAGTTCTAACATTGTCAGACAATTCATAGCATCATGCTAAACTTATGAAAGCTAGTAACATCTTTGCTTTTTTCCAAACTGATGATTAAATATGTTATTCTCTTTTAAAAATAACTACAAAGTTCAATCTTGCATGTTACCGTTTTGCATGAGAGCTCCTTCAGGAAGTGATATATTTTTTTCCTGTTTTTTAATATAGTTTGCACTAAGTAACTTCAAAACCGATAGATTCTCCATTCTAGACATTATACTAATATCTGTTTATGCTTTTTTTTTTATTTTTATCTTTTTCATTTTCTTTTTAAAAACACCATAAGTATTCATGCTTAAGTTACTTCAGAGCAGCTCTGGATACCATTAGATTTTGCTTTAGTAGAATTTATGGTCCACAGACAGTATGTTTACTTTTATTCTATTTATTATCAGTAAAAATTGTGTGTTTGGCACTTCCTTTCATTTACATGTATCAGGTTGTCCTTTGTTTTGGTTTTGTTTTGTTTTGTTTTTTTTAAGTTACCATCCATTTATCACAGGCCACTGTGGAATCTATAATGAGGGACAAGATGCCCAAAAAAGGTGGAAGGTGGTGGTTTTCATGGCGAGGGAGGAACAGCACTATTAAAGAGGTAAGTTTAAGAAGCAAGCAGGATTTCCTTCTGATTGCAGTGGGAAGGCTAGATACCTCTATATTCATCCCTCAGAACGTTACTTCTGAGAGTAACTTAATATTCAGTTTGACTGAGGATATACTTGTTGAAAAGATGTTTAAATGGGATCTAAAGTCTGACTTCTTTTAGTTCAGAAAGCTTTGAGTCAGATCCTACCTGAATCATTTGCCTGTAGTGTTTTGGTTCTGCATTGATTTTCATTACACAAACAGTATTATCTAATGAATTAAATTTATTGGGTTTTGTGCAGATTGCTTACCTTTCTACAGTTTCTTTTGGTAGTTGAAGAACAGACTTATTTACAAGTATTGTGACCTGTAAAATTCAGCAAAAACCTAAGATGGAAAACTGACTGTATATTAGTTTTAAAGTCTTTTTGAATTTCTTTACTGAGCATTAAAAGTTTGTGGTAATAGTCTGAAAGCCATGGATGAACATTAAAGAACAGTGAAAAAAGCAAAACTTTATATGAAATACTGATCTCCTGTCTAGACATATTTAATCTTTCAAGTTGGCTAATAAAACTTCTTCATATTAATTTATACTACTGAAGCATTGGTACTTGAGGGGATAAAATTACTTCTAATACATTTTTATGGTTGTGCCTCAGTCAAAGAACTTTTTTAGCCTTGCATAAAATAGCCATGGTACTGATCTGTGGGTAAGGGCTTCAGAGATATTTTTACAATTTGTTGAAGTTTTTAGAATTTCTCTCTGAGTGGAAACATTTGGTATCTCTTGCACTGTGGAAAGTGTAAATGGATAAAGGGAGGTGTCATTGGTTGTGTGTCTTAATCATTCACTATTTTAAGATCTTGTGGCATGAAATTGATAGAGCTTAGCACCTACTCAAGATAAAAGCAGTGTGGAAAATTTTATTGAATTAAAGATTTTAATGATTCTGTGAAAGGAAATTGTATTTTTTCCTTCTCTGAGTCATACTTTGATTTCCCAGGTGAAATTTAGCCATTTGAGGTGCATGAAACTGAGTAGTTATGAGATTGATCCCAGAACTTCAACAGTACAAGATGTGAAGTCTGATGTTTCTGTACTACTTCCATATAAAACTAAATCTTAATTCTTCTGAGTTCTGTACTTGCAATTTTTAGTTCTTTGTGTGGTCTTCATTCTTTAAGAAAACTGTAAAGTTTTACTTTGCCTACAAGTGAAGGAAACAAACACACTGCTATTTTTTATGCATCTGTAGAAGATAGAATTTGATTTTCAAATATTCTACTGAAAATATTAGTTCTCTGCCCAGAGGAGATGCACAGCTTCTCACACTTGTATTTTTACAGGAATCGAAGCCAGAGCAGGGTATGAGTCGGAGTGGATTTACAGGAAAAGACTCTCCACAGATGAGCATGGCAAATAGGTACCCCCAAAATGGAAGCAAGCTACTCCTTATATTTGAACAAAGAAATACTTCATCAGTGAATTTATATATGATTTTTTTTATTTACTGCATCAAATAAGCGCTCTACCCCTGCCAGTGTTGCAGACCTTGTGAGTGTGCTCTGGCGTTTCTGTGGTTTGGCTGGCAGTGCTGTGACACGCATTCCAGCTCCTTGAAAACAAACAATATTTGGACCAGTTCTCCAAAGCTGTGTGTGTCTCTCTAGAGTTTTTAAGGGAACATCATAGGTGATGTCGTGCTGTTACCAGATCCCAGTTGCTAAAATTTATGATTTTCTATATCTGTGGCCTGGCAGTATTTTCCTGCATATTTTGAGATGTTCAGGGACTTTCAGAGTTTTGTTTTCACAGGCAGTAGTCATGGTTTTCTATTACTTCTTTCAAGGATTACAGAAGTCTCTTCCTTCTTGTGCTCCAAACTAGACATACTGTATGGCCGGAATCTCTTCTTCAGGACGGTCCCATAAGATGAGCTTTAACTTGCTTTGGAGGGCTGAGTTTGCTAGGGATGGCTCTCCTGTGTTGCCCCTTTTCTGTACATATAGATATTACTGTACAGACAGCCTGCCTGTGTGCTGTCTGCACTCAGAGCTGAAAAGGGTTGCATTCTGATATGCTTTATACTTATTGAGGATCACTTTTATGAAATGAAAGGGTGTTAGCTGTCATTCGTTGTTTCTGGAGGTTGGCAATTGTAGTCCCGACGAATGTACTGGAAGGAGGATTCCCTGTTCTGCAGGAGATTGGCTGTTATCTCAGTTGTCTCTCTCGAGTTTGTGTAAGCCACGGCATAGATCAAAAAGGTTGATTTTGCTCATAAGGGTGACAAGTGCCATTTAGGTCTCTTTCTGACATGGTGGTTTACTGATAAGCTTTAAAGTGGGATTAAGACATCCAAGCAGACTAGATACTGTAACTGGCATTCTTTGGTTGAATTTTAACTGACCTTTAAATCTGTCTTTAACAATTTATTGCTTGCAAGCAAAATGTGACAAGTGGGTTGTTGAGTAAAGCTTTTGAGATCTGATCTTACAAAGGATGAGGTAGCTTTTAAATGTTGCTAACTGTGTCATGTGGTACCTTGGTATTGGGTCAAGACTTCCTAACATCAAACACCCAGCTGTAATCGAAGTAAGAGGTCAAATGCTGATTGTTTGAAAGATGAGATTTGTAGGATCTGAAAGGATATTTTACCTTCCATGTAAGGTGATAGTTTTGTTTACTGTAAGAAAACTCTCTGTGAATAAAAATATCCTGAGCAAATTTCTGAACAAATTGTAGCAGAAAAATAAGTAAATTATGTGTACTTAAACAGAATTCTGGTGGTGTGGTGTTGTTTTTTTTTTTTTTTTCATCATCATGTCCTGATTGGGATAATCCTGCAAACCCTGGAAGAGAATACTTCAATGATCTAACTTTTCCATTACTTTAATTAATTGCTAAATTCTTTTGGGGAGGAATGAAGAGGGGAGAAGAGAAAGCCAGCATACTGAACACCCCTTTATTCTGAGAAATGAGAAATTTTTATAGTTATAGTATCTAATGAGTATTATTTTTAACACCATGAGATTTTTGAGTCAATATGGCACATTAATTTACATCTGTTAAGTAAGGAAAACTAGCTTATACACAAGTGAATGGTTAGAACAATCCAAGTATGAATAATGGGTAAAATGTGTGAATGAAAATTCAGCATTTCATTGATATATTTAAAGCCATGATGTGAATGACCTCCCGTGAGACTACTTAGGAGCAGGGAATCAATGACTTATTTGGTGACTCACTGTTAATGCATTTTTAATGGATACTGAGATGCATTTAGTGACATAACATCATTTTCTGTGTGTGCAATGTTCCAGAATAAAAGATGAGTCTTCTTCAAGCGATGAAGACCCTAGAGCTGCCAAACAAAACCTCGGGCCATTACAAACCAACTCAAGTCATCTCTCATTATTGTCTGGAATCAGTTACAAAAAAACTCTTCGACTCACTTCTGACCAGCTTGTGAGTTAATTTTATATCATTGTTCTGAAATGTCATTTCTAATACAAGATGAACTGTTATTCAGGCTTGCAAAGCTTCATTAGCTCTTTCATCTTGCATGTAATTCTCTCTCGGTATGTTTTTCAAAACCCCCCAACTTTTCCCTTTTTTCAGTATTAAGCATTAAAGTACCTTGCAGCAAGTGAAACACTTGCATCCCTGCAAGTGTTCAAGACCCGGCCGGATGAAGCTTTGAGCAACCTGGTCTAATGGGAGGTGTCCCTTGCTGATGGTGATGGGGTTGAAACTAGATGATCTTTCAGGTCCCTTTCAAGCCATTCTATGATTCTACGAATGCTTCCATGGAGAAGGCATCAATAACTTCTCCGGGTAACCTCTTCCAGTGTCTTACCACCCTAGCTCTTTGAACACTCTCCCCTCACTCATGGTCAGGCAGTCTCATTTTTCATAAATACGGTTTTCTATTTGTAACTTCAAGAAGAGCTACTTGTCAAATCACTATGAGGCCAGGCTATTAATTTCTTTGCAGCCAATTCTCTTCCTCTGTGACAGAGATGTTTTGACTAATGGTGACCAAACTCTTGCAGTGTTGTGTTCTGCACATTACAATTTGATCTGGAAAAATGGACTTCTTTAAGGAAATATTTTTTTGTTATCTTCTCTACCGCCAATTTATTTTCTGAAGGAAACCCTCCACAAGCCATGCAGCATTCAACAGCCCATTGCCCACCGCCTGAATAGTGTGTAAGAAATGTAGAATTTTTCCCAAGCACAGGTGGATTTTTTTGGTAATTTTTTGTAGCAAACAGAATGCAAGGGTTACACAAATACATTGATACTTCTTTTGTTCTAAACCCCTGCAAAAAGTAGTTGAAGTTAAAACAACTTTTAGACTGTTTTCTTGAAGAAACGGTGTGTGAGACTCATCAGTTACCCATGAGTTCTGTATTCTCACCTCCTTCTCACTTTTTAACTCACTGAACTAAGAAAAAGAGTTGCTTAAAGTATTAAACTCCTGCACATTTTCTGAAAATGAATAGTTAGGTCCTCAAATAGAATCAAATCAATAGTCTTTTGCCCAGTATGTTGCTAAGTGATGTAGGAGACAGTGGGAAGGAAGGGCAGGAAAGTGGCAAAAATACGGGAGTTTGTTGGAGACAGAAGGATGGTAGAGCATATAGGTAGGTTATTGTAGAGAAGAGATATAATACTATAGAAGAGAAATCCCCATATAAACACTTTTAATTAGAGCTCATGGAGCTCCTTGTTACCCACATTTCTCTCTGCAAATGTATCTATGTCTCAGAATGGAAAATTAAATAGTCCCTGTTCCATAGTTTGTTATTGTTAATGTGAACTTTTGGAGATTTATTTTTTCCTTTCATATTCCTGACCGTGAAACAGATTTTTTTGTTTATATGTTTTCTTCTGCTCTATGAATCAATGCCTAATGTCCACCACACAGGGCAAACCTTGGCTATCCTTATTTAGACAGTAGCTCTGCTGAAAGCAGTAAGATTCAATGTGACCAAGGTACTGATGATCTGCGGCTTTGTGTCTGCACTGAGCAATTTCACGTGCTCAGTTTGTTGATTACTTGCTGATAATGTCTTGCAGAAAAGCTTAAAGCTCAAGAGTGGCCCTAATGATGTGACCTTTAGTGTTACGACACAGTATCAAGGCACATGCCGCTGTGAAGGCACCATTTACCTATGGAACTGGGATGATAAAGTTGTTATTTCTGACATCGATGGAACAATCACACGGTGAGTTCACAGAAGGGGAGAGGCTTTGTCTGCACGGACGAATTGTCCTTTGGACTAAAGGAAAAAGTAATTGACAGGGAATTTTGAGTCACAGAACCATCTTATTCCAGTGTTTTGGGGGAGATTGTGGTTTTGGGGTTTTTTTTTCAGTTTGGCTTTCAAACAACACAAGAATTATTAATTCCACTCTAATATAATAAAGACATGCCATAAATGCCTATTTGTCACCTATTGGTGTTCCATGATAATATTTACAGCAGTATCGCAGGACCTTCTGCAAAATCATAACCTTTTTGCAGCATCACACTTATGAAGTACTTTGGCTACATTAAAAAGAGGAAACGTGAATTCTGTTTTAAAAGGTATTACTGGAACATTCCAGTGAGACACATTATTATTTAGAAGTGCCAGAATTGGAATTTGATGGCAAGTGTCACATTAGTACTTTGGGTAGAACCCACAATTTTGGAGTGATCAAAATGATTGACTCATTAACTGCCTTTTAGTTATTTGTTTATTTAACGTAGGGGAAAACCATTGTGTGTAGAACAGGGAAACACGTAATAAGAATTTAAGCATTACCTTTCAACCTTTTGAAACTAGATGCTTAGATTTGTTTCAAAATCTATTTCTTTCAAAATCAAACTTAGCTATATCTAATTATAAAAAAGAGGGAAAAATAGCTTCCAAGAACAATCTAGGGTGAACCTTGGTTTAAATTGAAACTACTTCTTTCCTTGTAATTTTATACATTGTAGGGCAAACTCTTTTTTTTTTTTTTTCCCCCATGTATATTCCCCTTGCTTTGTTTTCTTAAGCTTCAATAAAGTGAATGAGATCTATTCTCACCTCTGCTGTTGAGCTGACCAGAGAGTTACTGGATCACTTCACCTTACAATACCATTGCACACCGAGCCTAAGCCACTACCTAATGTTTTCCTTTCTTAAGATGCAAGATATTCAGAGTGTGGATTTCTTGCTGTATATCTGTATAATGCTTAGTCAAGTGAGGTGATAATTTTTTGGAATTTCTAGATGTTATTGTAGTGTAAATAGTTTTCTTTCATGTAAAGCAGGAAATACACTGAACCTAGTATAATTATTTCCTAATAATGCTTTGTGTGTGACCAACTGCTGCCTGCTTCATGTGGAGAAGTGCCAGCCCACTACATGGGTCTGCTTGATAGCCTCGTTGTTGTAACTTCCATGTTACCTTATGGGCCATGAGCTTGCTCATGGAGACAAGTCCTGGCCACAAGAGTAAATTCAAACAAGATGGCCAAGGATGGATGTGTCAGTTTATCTCAGAAGAAAAGGGAATAAAGTCATCCTCTTCTGACCACAAACAATACTTTACAGAAAACCTTTTTTTCCTTTGCCGGAAGCCAGATAACTTAGAGGGTTTTGCATTGTAAGTATTAGCATGATTTTTTTCAGTTCAATTATATTTTCTTTTATTCAGGTCAGATACTTTAGGTCATATTTTGCCAACTCTTGGCAAAGATTGGACACACCAAGGGATCGCAAAGTTGTACCATAAAGTGAGCCAGTAAGTATTCAGTAAATCTGTTCATACATCTCTCTCTTGTTTGTGTTTACTTATTTTTGAGTAAAAATGAATTATGTGTTTACATAAAAATTAAAATTTCTCTCAGATTCTCTTGACCTATAAAGGCAACAGTTTCATCAGTATCTCATCACTTTAGTTATGCTTACACAGTGTAAACATCTGCTGTATGAAATCCAGAGTAAAACCTGCTTTGTGTGGTATCAAAGGCAAACCCCTGAGTAGTGGTTCCTCTTCCAGCCATCCCAAACAGATAGCTACAATTAGTTCCAAAAGCTGTAGTAACTGGATTGAATTGTGCAGCTGCAGCAAGTGGAGCTTTCTTTCAAGCTGGGAGTTTTAGCATCATGAATTTGTAAGACACTAATACGCTCTCCCTTCTTTCCTTCTTGGGGAGCTTGTGAAATGCATGAGGGCTGTTTGGCCTAGGGCAGTCACTGTGGGTGGAGTTCTTGCCAAACTTGACTCATCTGGAGTCGTGCAGGGATGGAATCTAAAACACGTGGGATGAATCCAGTTGGAGGAGTTCCCTCTCCAGTGGGTAGAAAGGGAGATTAGATTTGGGATGTCTAAACATTAGGCTTCTAGCCAAGCAAAATAAATCTTGCCCTTAGAGCACAGCGCCATGTCTTACCTTGAGTAGGGATAGACCTATTTCAGATACTCATTGCTAATATTCTTGTTGGTTTATTTCTTGTGTAAATAATGATGAGTCAAATACAATGATGATGATCTTGACTATTGATGATTATACATTTTGATTTGTTACTTCTGTATATAAATATTCATTGTTATTTCATTGTTAAATTGAAAGTTAGGAAGGATCAGTCTTAAAATATTTTTCTGTCATTTTGAGAGTAGGTGATAAGTAAACATTGCTTTAAGTGGAATTTAAAGGCATTGAAAGTCAGTAAGACAGATGCTCTGAAGAGCCTGAGGAACAGGCTTTTACTTGGCAACACCAGGGTGAGCTGTTATTAAAGCTCAGTAGCTGACCTGCACTGATGCCTTTTGGTTCATGTTAATAAATACCTTCTGTGCCACTTTTCGTGGAAGCACTTGGACACTTGCACACTCTGTGTAATCCATAGAGAGAGACAGGCATCTTCCAAATATGGCTCAATATACCTGACATCTAATTATGTTTTGATTTTTTTTTTTTTTTCACGTTAACTTTTGAAGATATATTGGACAACAGTAGGTCGGCTGTGCTTTAGGTTGGTTAATACTATTAACAGGGAGGGTATCCTGGTATGACCTAGAACAATATATAAAAAAAGGGATAGTTCCTATGATGAATCTGAACAGGAGAAAACCAGTCAGACCATACACATGGAGTGATGTGTGGGAATGCTACTAGGTGAGCAGGGTGAGTGCAAGAGTATAGGTGTCCTGTTGGTTCCCTGGATACATTCTGCAATGTAGCCAAGCCCTTGTGTACACCGGAGGGTCAGAGACAAGAGTGTGGTAAGTCTTCTGATGGGCAATTGAGAGGAAAACAAAGGAAACGAAGAGAAAAAATAACTGATGTCTGAATGCGATCACATAAAGTATCCGATTTTAACTTTTACAAGGAGAATTACTGATTGCAGTCTGTTTCGGTTGATATTTGTTTTACACAAAAAATAAAATTGATTTTCTTTTAATATATGAAATTCATCTGTTCTTATGTATATTCAAATTACCACAAATGTTTAAAGAGCCTCTGGTACACATCGCAACTATCTTCTAAATTAATCTCATTTGTTCTGTGTACTAGGGTTATGTTAAGGTTCATTTATTGCTTTTTGTTTTGCACAGATGATGAATTATAAATTATGGATGATGGAATCTAAATTATGCCAGAGATACTTGTCTGTGCTTTTATTCTGTATAGACATATGTGGTCACAGAAAAGACAGGACAGCCTGGGAATTCACACACTGAGTAGTATTTAATTCTGTGTGTAACCTCTGCATTACATTTGGTGGAAATGCTCATTAATTTTTTTAATTGCAGTTGTTACTTCTATGCCTGCCAGCATTGTCAATTGTTAGGGCTTTGGTGATCATAAACATAGGGAGGGAAAATAGATTTGAGTCATGTTGTTTTTCAAATTACCAAGTTAATTATGTAGTGGCTAGATATTACAGCTGAACACCATATAAATGTTCAATAGTTAGACTTAATGACTATGCGTGCGCTGAATACAGTATTTATTTTATGAACAGTAATTTCTTTGTAGGACTTGAAAATTAAATTGTTATTAGGTTGGACTAACATCACTGGGCTCCATTCAATCATGAAAAGAACCAAGGGTAACCTGTGACTTCTGCCAAAACTTTTATTTCGGTGTCAAGTCAAAGATTACTTCTCGTACTGTGTTTTGAAGATCGAATTTACTCTGACTTGAAGTACTATGTTACTGCTGCACATTGACTGGTCTTTTTGGAGGGGCCCAAGAGGCAGGAGTACAACACTGTTGATACAGCTTTATGCCAAGTGTTTTTCTCTTGGCAGATGTCATTTCAGTTACTTCTAAGGAGTATGGCTCCAGTAGGCAAGGATAGATAGAAAACCATATAAATTCATAAATCAGGAGGAGACCAGAGATCAGTGAATCATCTTTAGGCGCAAATCTTTTAAGCACAGCGAACGTAGACAGATTTAATTATGCAATTTCGGGCACAAATGTTTTTATTCCTTTCAAGTAAGTCTAGGTTGAACATAAGTCTGTTTAACAGTGACAATTGATTAACGTAAAAATAAACCCACAAAATTATTAATGACAAAATGCCTGCTTTATTTTTTACAGTGATTTCTTGTTTTATTCCTGTTCACAGAAATGGATATAAGTTTCTGTATTGCTCAGCACGTGCTATTGGAATGGCAGACATGACCAGAGGATACTTGCACTGGGTCAATGAGCGGGGAACTGTGCTGCCTCAAGGGCCAGTCTTGCTGAGTCCAAGCAGCTTATTCTCAGCTTTTCACAGGTAATGCAATTTCACTTTTACGCAGAAAGAAACTCGGAGGTTAGTGGAGGCTGAATTCTCAGCTTTTTTTAATGGAATTTCTTGAAATAATTCATAATATTTTGTGGCATATTGGTGCATAATCTAATTAAGAAGCAATTTAGTTTGAGAAAGACCAAAATTCAGTAGTTGCTTTGTTTATTTTATCTTTTAGACGTGCCTCAGTATACATCTGTGTTTTGTTTTACTAGTACGTACTGCCTGTTGGTTTCATGTGTCTAACGCAGTGTGTTAATGAATAGCTATGGGAAAAATGTTCATATACTCATAACAATCACTCTTACCTTGACTTCTAAGGTGTTCCAATTGGCATAAATATTTTTTTGTGAAAAAAACCGACTTGGTGGGTTTTGAAGAAATAAATGTGAAAATGAACTTTTCACGCTCCTGACTGCACTGTGGTATTCTGTGTGGGCAATGTTCGCTTCTTCTAGGTGTTGAACTGTAATAAGTGAATAATAATAGCACAGTTTATGAATACTATAACTTCTTCCTAATTCAGTGAGGCATGTGAAATGATTACTGAAAATATTTTAAGCTGTTAAAAGCTGCCGTGACAGGATATATTCATTAGAATTTTTAATGAAAGGTTGTTCAGATGTTCTCCTGATTGAGTGACATGCTACAGGCTGTTTTACTGGTTGTGTTCTAAATATAAGAGACCTTGGAGGTATTACAGTGCACTTCTTAGACTGATTAAATAATAAATGCAGTGAAAGGGTAGTTACTGCTATCTTATGCTCCTCATATCTAGAGTTGTATTTAAAGTGATACTTTTTTTTGGATATCTTGTTTAGACTATAGAATGCCCAACTTTGAGTGTTTGCTATTTTAACTGCTGTGATGTGGACAATAAAAATGGCTTCATTGTTATCCAGTGATGTAATTACTGTGCTTTTGAGGGCTCTGAGATCATGTGTATGCGAGACTGAGGAAAGGTGGTTTCATTCCTCTTTTGCATATTCTCAAACTTCAACTTACACGTGGAGCTGCTGTTCCAAAGGGCTACATTACTCTTAGGAAGCTTCTATACTATTCCCGTCTTCCTTAACATATGTGTTGGTGCTAGGGTGTGGGATTCTGAGCTTCTTAAGGGCTTTTGTGTCATGCTGGCATCTTCCTATATTATGGGAGTTCCAGACTCTGCCACCTGCTCAGTCTCCTTGCCAAGAGAAGCTGTTGTGAAAGTGCTTTTGCCCAGAGATGAGAACTCCTCTGTTCATTAATGAATTCTGTAAGGAGCAACTGAAGCAAAATAGAAGATTCCTTTATTCCTTAGCTACTAATAGTGAACAGTGATGGAGGACCCTGATTGTAGAAGTATTTTAACAGGCTGAGGTGCTTCTAGTACTTATGGAATTGCAGTCTTTTTTTTTTTTCAGTAAAAAGAAGGTGCTATACACAGTGAAGGCTAGTATGATTTGTGAATCATTCTGCAGTTCTCAGGAAGCAGTTTACTTGATGACAGTTTATATTTTGTAAGTCTTTGTTTAGCAGCTACTCCCTGTAATAACCATCCTTACTCAGTGGCCATCTTTACAACATAGGTTTCAATAGAAGTTCTCTTGCTTTAGAGGACTTATATCCTGTGTCTATTCTGTAAGCTTGGGAATGCTATTTTGTCTTCATGGGCATTGTGATTTCCACATGAAGATTTACTGGAGAAGGGTGGAGGTTCTGTAGGAATATCTAGCTAGGTGAAAAATGTTAAATAAAGGAAATAAAATGAATTGTGCTGTATTTCATGTGTACTTACTCAGCCTTCTTTTTTTTATCGTTTCAGGGAGGTGATAGAAAAGAAGCCAGAAAAATTTAAAGTTCAGTGTTTGACAGACATCAAAAATTTGTTTTATCCTAACACAGAACCCTTTTATGCTGCTTTTGGAAACAGACCTGCTGTAAGTAATAGCTGGATTTATTTCCATTGCAGAGAACAGAAAGGTTGCTTTTATTTCATAGTTCTGTACATTAGAACCTAAAAGCTTTAAATGAGAGTTAAGAATGTTTTATTAGGCCCTTTACAAAGGAAAGTATAAAGGTTCTTCCTCGAAGACCTCACAGTATAGGATGAAAGCAAGATGCAGGGTAACTATACTTTATCTGCATAAGTTAGCCTAACAGTAAATATTAGTTGAAATCTTAAGCTTAAGGATTTCTTACATAGTTATGTGAAAACACTGATCTCATTTTACTCCACACTGATACCATGTCAGTGAGATACCTCTGTACAGATAAAAAAATCTTTCAGTTGAGTAGTGGTGGGACTTCAAACTCTAAGTACACTCAGAAGAACTTGGGTTGTCCCACTGAAATCAAAAGGCTCTACTTTGCATGTTGTTTGAGAGGGGAAGATAGATCTGTGTCACCCGTGTCAAGGCTGTGTAATTGAGCTGTAGGCTTTTCTTAATCCTGTCCTAGCCCAGAGCATACTTCTATGCATCCAGAAAAGGAAACGTTCTCAGGGGCTAGGGCAGAGGTAGGGACCCCGGCATGTGAGTATCCCTTCTTTCAAACTATTAGCATGCTCCAAGAAACTGTTTTCACACTGGCTGCTAGCAGTCTTCCAGGAAATTTCTGTATATGATTTCTGTGTTAGCTTGAGGAATTGAATCTCTCCAATGAGCATTTTATATCATCATATGGGATATGATATATATGTGATATATAGGAAGGGGGGTGGTGTATGTGGAGTAGCTATTTTTTGGTTTTGTGTTGGTTTGTTGGGGTTTTTTTGTTTGTTTTTGAGGGGAGTGGTATAGAGAGTTTAATAATACTGACACAGTGTCAAGAGACTTCCAAGCCTGAGAATGGGCACCCACACTGTTTAGTTTACTAGTGTAAATATCACTAGTTTGCTAGTGTAAATAAATTGTAAGTGCCTAAGGAAGGACAGAGGCTTTGTTTCACTCAAAATCTTTGAAAGTGTCCCACTGTCAGAAGAGGACGTATAAAAAGCATATTCTTTAGATGTTAACAGTTTCACTGGGCACCTCAGTTTACATGTTAAGTAAACTAGGCAGTTGAGCCCTTATTTGTGCCCAGGAGCCCCACAGAGCGTTTGGTACTTCCTGCAGCTCTGTATTGGCAGGTAATATTTCCTGGAGAAACTGGTGTTTAATATAGTAATGTGTAACAAGAAACCTGGTAACACCAGTGTGGAGTTTATCGCTAAAAGACTGTTGGCATGCAGCTTGGGTGTATCCACCGTGTTTTGGAAGCTAAACCCACTTAACTGTTTGCCTGCATCCTGGCCATGCCACTGCTCTTAAGAGAATGGACTTTGAGCTTTCATATTTCCTGGTATGATTAGTAAGAGAACACTTTGGTTACCTCTTTCCTTAGTTGGTGGAGAGAAATGGGATGTGTCTGGAGAGTAATCCAGGTACTAGGTGACCATCTTTCTCCACTGATTCCAGGAGAGCTAAGGGCTTCTAACCGAAGTGCCCAAGGACCACGGATCCCAGCCTGATCTGCTGTGACAGCTGAGATGCCTTCATTAGCAGATACATTCATAGCTTTGTGAAATTATCAGTATAAATGTGGACATTGGCCATTGCCAGCATGAATATGAGCATTCAGAGACTGAGCAGTTTAGATACTGAAATGCTGGACAGATATTTTGGCACTGAAGCCATGGATGTTTTAGCAATATTTGAAAGGCTTCAGCGTGCCTTGCTGATAGGACTTTATTTCTATGTTTGTCTCATATTTTTTTAGGGTTGCTAACACTTATAAGCAGTATTTTTTTCAGCTTCTTCTTTTGGCAAATTACGTTTTTAAAAGCATGATTTTGAAGGTCCTCACTGTCTGATTGCTATATTAAGTTCCTATATCATACACAACTTAACTTCCATTATCAAGGTACCTTTTGACATGGTTTTGAAATAACTTTTTAAACATTTTTGTAGTTCCTATTATGATTTATGTCTACCTCTAGTTTCACTTTTGGAAACTTGAGGAAATAAAATCATTATTTTCATACATACTTCAAGACAATTTCAAGTAAGAATTATTGATAACTACTCTGATGACTGTTGGAGTGCAGTTCTCAGGTGTGAGATGTAGCACTGGCTTTGTGAAGATCAGGATCATTGTTTTCTCATTTTTCTGCAATGCTTGGCTTTTGGTTTTTTTTGTTTTTTTTCCCTGGGCAGAATCGGGGAAATTTCGATTCTCATAGGTGTTACAGGTGTAGATCATGCAAGGACTGCCAGGATGCTGAATTCCTGAAGTGACTTGCTCAGTTACTTAATTTTTTTGGAAGAATCTTTACAATATAGAGATAAAAATAATTTTTGTATATTCATTAACATTCTAGTCTTTCACTACCCTAGATTTAAAAAATGTGTTTTATATTAGTAAAATGGAAGCTTGTTTTTGCTCTGATCTTCTGAGGGTTATTTCCATCTTTGCTTTTGTCAAGCTTTCTTCAGAACTTATTCATTGTTTTCCTTAACAATTTGTATTTCTTAGAAGACACTCCTAATTTTTACGTCTAAGTGTACTTGCCAGAGTTGCATCTGCATTACCTGCTGGGGCTCACTGCTGCTATTTTGGCATATGGCACAAATCCAACCTCAGGAGCTAAAAGATGTTTCTCAGGGTTTTGAATGTGGACACAGTTGTTACGACATCCTTTTGTGACCTTGTCCTTATAAACTAATTGCTATTTTACACGTCATTTGTTTCAACCTCTGTATGCTGTTGCAATATACACAGTATAATGCACTCAGGAAGTTAAATACTCTCTGAAAGAAAAATGAAATCCTAGAATCATAGAATGGTTTGAGTTGGAAGGAAACTTGAAGATCATCTAGTTCCACCCCCGCTGCCATGGCCAGAGACGCCTCCCACTAGACCAGGTTGCTCAAAGCCACATCCAGCCTGGCCTTGAACACTGCCAGGGGAAGGGCTTCCACAACTTCTCTGAGCAACCTGTTCCAGTGTCTCACCACCCTCACAGAAAAGAATTTCTTCCTAATATCTGGTCCAAATCTACCCTCTTTCAGTTGGAAGTTGTTACCCCTTGTCCTATCACTATACTCCCTGATAAAGAGTCTCACTCCTCCGTTCCTACAGGCCCCCTTGAGGTACTGGAAGGCCACTGTAAGGTTTACCTGGAGCCTTTTTATCTCCAGGCTCAACAACTCCAACTCTCTAAGCCTGTCCTCATAGGGGAGGTACTCCAGGCCTGTTTTTATGGCCCTCCCTGCACACACTGCAACAGGTCCATGTCTTTTTATGTTGGAATCTCAAGAACTGAACACAGAACTCCAGGTGGGGTCTCACAAGACCAGAGTAGAGGGACAGAATCACCTCACTTGTCCTCCTGGCCACGTTTCTGATACAGCCCAGGATGCGTTTGGCCTTCTGGGCTGCGAGCGCCCATTGCTGGCTCATGTTCAGTTTCTCACTGACCAGCACCCGTAAGTCAGAGAGCTGCTTTCAATCCACTTATTGCCCAGCCTGCATTTGTGATTAAGGTTGTCTGAACCCAAGTGCAGGACTTTGCACTTGGCCTTGTTGAACTTTGTGAAGTATGCACCGGCCCACATCTGCAGCCTGTCCAGATCCCTCTGGATGGCATCCCTTCCCTCCAGCGTGTCGACCGCACCACACAGCTTGGTGTCGTCGGCAAACTTGCTGAGGGTGCGCTCGATGCCACTGTCCATGTCACTGATAAAGATGTTAAACAGCAGCGGTCTGAGTACTAACCCCTGAGGAGCATCACTCGTCACTGGCCTGTGCTCAGAATTTGAACCATTCACCACAACTCTTGGAGTGTGACCATCCAGCCAACTCCTTGTCCAGAGAGAGGACCACCTGTGAAATCATGTCTCTCCAATTTAGAGAAACTGCACATGCTTTTACACCAAATATCATTAGCCTTTTATTGAATGTTATTTTTGTGTCAAGGAAAGTTACTGAAGAGATGATTTTGATTGATAGCTTAAACTGAAGTGGCAAACTCCTTGCCTAGCTACAAATTGCCTGTTTTATGATCAGTTTGTTAGACTGACTTCATTTGTATTGTAATGGAGAATTTCAGTTATCATATAACTAGGTAAATTTAGTACCAGTACTTTGCAAATATGTTGTTCTGTATAATATATTCTAGCAAGAATAAATCTAATTGTGTAAAGGCAGAATAATGATTTTCTTTTTTTATTTTTTTTTTCTCCTCTGCTTAGGATGTTTATTCATACAAACAAGTGGGTGTTTCTTTAAACAGGATATTTACAGTTAACCCCAAAGGAGAACTTATACAAGAGCATGCAAAGTCAAACATCTCATCGTAAGCAATCTCTTACCTCAGCATCTTTAAGACAAAATTAATTTGCTGTTCTAATTTATGACTCAAGTTGCCCAAAGATCCATTTGGTTTTATTAATGAAAGATTACGTAGAATATTTCAAACAAAACATAAAAAATGTAGAATAAACTACAAGCTTTCCACTTTCCTGCAGTTAAACTGACAAAAAAACAATAAAAAGAAGTTGTTTAGTACTTACTTTAATATATTGCATCTACTTTAATCATGTAGAGGAATTACCAGAGTGTGAGTTAGTTTGCATAAAAATGAGACTAGCTGGTTTCCTGAAGCCATCTGCCTTTTCATGGCCTTTTCAATATTTCATGGGTTTGGAGCTCCTGTCTAGAAGAGCCCAGAAAAGAATATCTGAAGATAGGGCTAAGAGCTTCCAGTAAGATGCTCGGGCACTGAGCGCCTAATGCCGAATGGAAATGGACACTCTTAACATTACAAAGGCCTTAGTGGAAAGGGAGCCATATGTGTATAAAATACAAGTAATCACTTGAGCAGGAAGCTGCTTGAGACAAGCTGGACAAAAATGGAGAAGCAAAATACAGGGCTTGAATTTTTTAGCAGGTATCTGGGTGGAAAAGGGTATCTCTTTCCTACTAGGTAAATATCATTGCTTAGAATGAATAAATTTCTTACCTGAATTGTGAATCTTCTCTGGAAGCTAGGCTTCAAAACGGAGTTTAGTTTAGTTCATTTGGGGCAGGGGCAAGAGTAGCCGTGCCTTAGTGGGGGCCCTTGTAAAAATTCAAAGCAAGAACCATCTGAAATGGTTCAGCATTCTTTTTTTTTGTCTTTATTTTCCAGCTATGTCAGACTGTGCGAAGTGGTAGATCATATTTTCCCTTTGTTGAAAAGAAGCCATTCTTCAGACTTCCCTTGTTCTGATACCTACAGTCAGTTCACCTTCTGGAGAGAACCTCTGCCGCCGTTTGAAACTCAGGATACACATCCACCCTCACCTTAACTGCATCTCCAAACTGTTGGCCTCAGCTCAAAGAATGATTTTGCGCGTCTCGAAAGAACACCACTTGGCTTTTGCTGTTGACAGTTCAGCTGGAATCTGTGATGTGAGCATTGTATTCTTCTGCTGCGAGCAAATTTAGAAATGCTTTGTCATACTTAGTCACACTTCCAGATGGCAGCAAGGAGTCTTACTAGGACTAGCAGTTACATTTCTGTCTCTTCATCCAGCTCCTCAAATTGTGCCATACAGCTTCATTATTTAAGGTCAAATAAAAGTGAAGTGATGTTGGAGTTGCGGTTAAACATGTGGCCATAAGGTCATAAAGTGGTTCTGTATCTTTCCTGCATCACTGAAGTCATCTTTGATCTCCTCAGAACCCCTTGCAAATAAGGGAGCTGAAAGTGCTCACTATTCCTGACATTGTCTGGTGACAGGAATGGGGTTTGCAGTCTCTATGTCAAAATTCTTTTCTTTGAAGGAGCAAATGATTCTTCCTTTTGCCCTTGCTTGGCCAACAACTGTGTGTTTAAAAGTTAATTGCTAGTCTAGATCCTCAGCTGTTGTGAATCAATGTAGCTATGAAAGCCAGTAGAGCTGTGTTGATTTTTTTTTTTCTGGCCAGCCTGTTGTTTTGACTTGGCAACACTTCTGAGGAAATAAGATGTGTAACCTTAACCTAAGTAGAAAGCAAATGAAATAAGATGGCCAGATTCTGGCAGTCTTTCTCAAATTGAAAAGTACCTTGCTTCAAGAGTAGTTATTTGGATTTAGGAAAGTGTGCAAGTGGAGGGTACAGGCTACTGTGCGTAGTGCTCATCTTACCAAAGTCACTGATTTTCAGTAAAGGTATCTTATGCACAGAATGTGCTGCATTTTGAGATCATTACTGAGCCAAGAACACTGATGATTTTGTCAAAATAAATAGTTTTATCTGAAATGTTATTTTGGCTAAAATGTGAACCTAGATGCTGGTGAATGATGCATCTCAAGTTTTTACTGTATGGATTTTTATTTTTGGTTTTGTACCATAAATAATGGATACTTTTAGTGCAATTTACTGTCCTCCAAGATAATGAAATTTTTTTCTTTCATCTTTTTTTTCATTATTTGCCCAGATGCACGCTGTAGATACTGGTTTTGTTACCTGCTTTTGACGGCCTTAAGACTTAACTGTGTGTGCTAAAAGCAATACTGCAGATCAGTTGATAATGTTTTCCAAATGGTCTACCTTTACATAGTGCAATACTTTACTTAAAACCTAGACGTCAAGTGACCATATGCCAAATGATTCTCAAATGTGCTTGTAGCTAGGAAAGAAGCTTTTTTTTCCCCCCTCCCCCTCTTAAAATATATTTGAAAGTCTAATTGTTCACTGAAACACTGAAAATGGCATCATGGGTTTCCATCTATATTGTGTTTCAGTGTGGCTGAAACAGTCGTTCACAAGCTGTAGTCTCTGCCAGCTTGTTACCGGTAAGGCTATGGTACATGTTTTGCAGCTTCTCTGTAGTGTTTTCAGTTAAGAATTTAATAATAGGAAGGCAGAGTGGTCCAGGAGAAATTTTAAGCTTTGATTGTGGCCAGTTAGCAACCAGAAGTTTGGAAACAGCTGCTCTGTATCATATTGTTTCTGCTTCAAGAAATTCTGGCTTTGCATGTCAAGGATGATAGCAACACAGGCAGGGTGGTAATTCTATAGTAGAGGTTTCCTAACGTTCAGGGCGGTAGACTTTATCTGGGATGTCAGGGGGCCAAATTATGATTTCTCTGTGCCTTCAGTAGTAGTGAAAGTAAGTGCAATCCTTTATACAGCTGCAGTGTGCAGTGATGAGCTCTCCTTAAGTCTTTCTTCTCCCATGAGCGTTGTTGCTTTGGGCAAAGTGTGTGCCCCCCTTTGGAGACACCAGGATTAGATAAACACAGAGAGGAGGGAGTGCGTGTTGAACATTGCAGGCTGATCATTGCTGTCTTGAAAGTTTAAAGAAAATGCACGTCTTTTCACTTAAAGATGGAAAAATGTAGTATGGATTTTCTGAATGACAATCAGTGAGGCTTGCAGGTTGCCCTACTGAGATGGTTGCATCTCTAAATATAGCCACACTTTAAATATCCATTAATATTTGTCATTAGTGATTGAGTGAATGGATGAACATACTAACTGCATCCTATTTTAATTCACTCTTGGTAAAGGCCTATTTCAGTCTACTTATTATGCAAAATAAACCCAAACCAACCCTTCTCTTCGGTAAGAGGCTGTCAATTTTATGGTTTTTATCCTTAACAGTAGTTAAGATCTACTTTCCTAAGGTACCACACACAGTAGCTTCCACCAGAAAAGACGGTCCCTGGAAGTTCTCCACAACTGAAGCCCATTATGTATTTATTTTAAAGTTTATCTGTAATTTAACTTAATCCAGAATTGTTTGTTGCTGTTAGTATTTCAAACCAACTGATAGCATGAATGAGTGGTCACTTTAATTCTATCAGATTGTTAGGCATAGTACAGCACCGGTACAGGTAACCCTAAGACACTGTTGAGTCTCCATCACGGAGTTTTTCAAGACTTTCTTGAACAGAGTTACAGCTGACTTCAACTATTGGCAGTCGTCTCTTTCAAGCATGAAGTTGGGCTGGATGACCTCCAGGGGTCCCTTCTGGCCAACATTTCTGTGATTCTGCGAAGTTAAACGCCTTACTTCTGACATACTGTGTACCCTTTTGTATCTGAAAGTTGAAATAGAGCTGAACAGTGAAAAAAAATGTGTGTTTCTGTAACTGATGTTTCTCAATTGCTCACAGAAAAGACTTGAAAATCGAACTTTTGGCCTGCTAGAAAAGATCACTGTACTTTTTCAAAGAGTGTAAGACCTTTTGATTTGGTCGCTGAGCAATTTTATGCGTAGTATTTAAACTGCTTTGTTAATTCATGTAGAAGTAAAAGATGGTTTAACAAATTCCTACTCTTTCTGTGAAAGAAGAAAAACAATCTACCTTGCTTGCAGTGTAGTGCTGTTTTCTGTTAGAGAAAGAATATTTGGCTAACCTAAATATGCAGACACATTAAATCACAGTATATTCTATTTATAGAATACACATAAACTAGAATATGCAGCAGTGAGGAGTGACTAATGTTTATTTCCTTGAAGCTGATGACCATACCTCTCGGGCTGTGTTTTGTGGGGGACAGAATACCATACTTGTTACATTGAAGTTAAAAGTTACTGCTGTAATTTGGAGAGGGAGGACTAAAAGGGTATTGGGTATTTTTTATTTGTAGTTATGGACTATTATTTCAAAGCTTATTTATAGAGAGTATTTGCTCTGTGTATGTATGTGCTACTGCAATGATGAGAATCGTTTTAAGACCTCATTTTGATCTGCTGAATGCAACAGGGGTAGACATATATGTTGCAATAAAGGCAAATACAATTTTTTTTCCGACTTTCTAATTTTCTGTAGAATGCTTTTGCAGAATTGCTGAAACTGTAGCTCCGGTCTCAAGTACCTGTATTTTGTGGGACTATGGGCGTTCCTTCCAGCACTTGCAACACTTCTGCTGTTCAGCTGCAGTGTTTGACCCAGAGCCTTTTCAAACGGAAGAGTTTATTGAGGGGGGTGGGGTGGGGATCTGGGCTCTGACTGTTTTGGGGTGTGGGAGCCGTGCGTCGCAGCCAAGAGCAACCAGACAGGAACTGAAGTGAATTGGACTAGTCAGGAATCCTACACCACCCCAGAATTTTTTTTGGATCTTCCTTTTGTCTAATTCCTGATGTGACCTAAGGAAAAACCAGCCATCTGTTTTGAATGGGAGTGTTGTCATTCATGGCAATGAGACCAGATAGCTTTGTTGGTTTTTTTTATTTTATTTTTTTATCTGCTTTGACATTGACCGTTTTGCTAGTGAGGAGCCCATGAGAACACAGCCGCTGCCTTTTGCTCCCTCTGCTGAGTTTGCTGAGCAAACTGACTGCAGCGTGGTGATACTGCCAGGCTTCTGTTAGCTGGTATGAAAACAAAAGATATTTGGGGTTGATAAAGCTCTGTGGCAGCTCATGTTCTGTGTTAGAAATACAAGAGTAGCTGTATTTGCGCAGCCTGCAGTCCCTGCTTCTTCAATCTTCTCTATTTTCTGTATGTCTCTGGCTTGTATAAACATTTACACTGAGCTCTGGAGACAGGCTCTGAAATGAAGGTGCCTTTTTAATTAAAAGTCAGGGAAATGGTGCTTTTGCATCAGCAAAACAAACTTTATAAGGACATATTCATTGCTCCTGGAATATCCCATTAACACTAGAGGTGGAAAAGTATGAGAGAGCAAGCTTCCAGAGCAGCAAAGACTATAAAGTTGTTTGGGGGTTTTTTTGATGCCATGTGGAAGGTAGGGAAGATTCCCAGAATGCTACATTATTTTTTCCTTATAAATAAATAGTCTTCATTCAATATGCATTGCAGATGACATCAAGTACCTCAGGCTGGTTCATTGCAAGAGGCAGAAGACCATTGGTGCTGAAAGCTACAACTTTCAACTCTGCTGTGAATGCATAAAAAGGCAAATACAGGAGGTTGTTCTTGGTGTAGGGTTTTTGGGTGTATTTGTGGTGGGTTGTTTTTTTTTTTCTTTTCTTAAAAGTCCAGTAAATTGTGGTGATAAAGGGAATATTCTTACAGTGCCACAACCTCAGGTAGTCCTAGCTCTCTTGCTTGCAGTAAAATCTAGCCCCTCATTTTGTTCTGTAATATGTTAGAAGTATGCAGGGAAAGGGCTTCTTGTAAATGAGAAATGAGAGATTGGCTCTAAAGAGATCCTGGCAATGGCATAGAGGGAATTACAAGCTGCTGGATGCTTTGGGGAAGAGATCCTCATTGAGATCTGAGATGTGAAGCAGAAAAATAAAGGCAAAATGAGAAATGGGTTTTATTCTAGGAGGAACTTGGGAAAGGGAACAAAACCAGAGCAAATGGCAAAAAAAAAGCAGCTTCTTGTTTCCATCCTCGTGCTGAACTGACGTG